CCCCAAAACCCCAAAACCCCAAAACCCCTAACATAATATCAATGGTTGAAAATTATATATTTTTGACCTCTTTTTCTTATTCCTGCTTAATTCTTGGTAGCATACAGTTGTTCGCATTCCTGTTTGGTCTTTCCTTTGGTCTCTTTGACAAATGCCCATACGAAGGTGATTGTGAACACTTGAATGGCTGCAAGACCGAAGTATACGCCTTGAGCAGTCAAATATTTGAATGCTTTTTAGTTGAGACTAGCTAGCTTACCTAGATTTGTGAATGTACCAAAGATCCATGTAGATATCATATTCAGAAAGGCAACAATGGCTCATCCCTTACTGTCTAAGATTTCTGGACAGTATGCCCACATTGCTTGTCCCATTCCAAAATTAAAGATAAACATGAAGATAAGTGTGAAGACGATTATTCCAAATTGGCTTCCCATTCAGGCTCAGGTGCCAGAAATTGCAAGTGAGGCTCACATTACTACCTCACTAAATTGAATGAATGTAACTCTTCCAAAGTATTTTTGGAGTGGGATCGATAGTCCGGTACCTAAGAAACCGACGATACCAACGAGTAAAGTTCCGACTCTTGCACTGTAGGCAGCATCAAGTCCTGTACGGCCTATTTTGATCAGCTCAGGGCTTACCAACAATGAAGATTTCGCTTGAGAAGAAGACCACTGCATTTCATCCTGTGAACTGATGCATTATGCTGAGGACAGAGCCTATCAGGAGTGCTTTCTTGTATCCTGGAGAGGACTTCTGTCCTGCTTTCTCACTGTGAGAGTCCAAAAGACTTCTATAGAGTCAGCAGGAGGTTACTGTTCCCTGGAAATCTCTTTTTGCTCGATTAGTGCGTCTACTTCTTTGACCTCAGAGAGCTCGATATCTGTGTCAGGCTTCCAACCAACATAAATTAGCTTCATGATCTTTGTATAATTGCTCTTGTCTCCCTTCTTCATGTAGAACAGAGGGGTTTCGTGCTTGAAAACTAATGTAAGAAGCAAGAGCTGTGCAAGACCAATCATGAAAGGAAACCCAAAGATCAACCTCCAGTTGTGAGAGTCGACACTGAATCCTTGGTTCTGTTCTGAAACCTCTGAACTTTCTATACAGTATTGGTTACTTTTAAGTTAGTTAAGGATGTTAATGTGTAAACACGTCTAATTTTGGTGAAGATGTTACCTGACAATGGCATGATGAATGGGACTGAGAAAGCAATGAATCCTCCAGTACAAGCTCCCATCTGGTTGAACACCCCTAAGAATCCTGACAATTCTGGTGGTGATATCTCTGATATGTATAGTGGGCACAATGTCGCGTATCAGCCAATACAAATGCCCATGCACAGTCTTCCGAGCACCAGAGCATAGAAGTTGAACACCAGGCTTAGTAATGTTGCTGCCATGAGTACAGATGCAACAATCAATAATGAAAAGCGTCTGCCTTTGTCAACAATGAGACCTATTATAACACTACCAAAGATGGCACCGAAAGGAATGAGACCTGAGACAAGAGAGTTGAAAAGGTTTTTGTCATGGATAACTTGTTGTCCTTTCTCTGCATATTTCTTGTATATAATGTCAGTGAACGCGTTGTAGTAGGCGAAGGAGTATCCTAGAGCCAGAAAGCCTAAAGATGCTGTCACGGCCATTAGGATTAAATATCCCTTATTTATACGCTGTTGGGTCATTTTCAATTAATTTTTTGAATCCCGGGGTTTTGGGGTTTTGGGGTTTTGGGGTTTTGGGG